ATATCCTTTCTGTTATTTCTAAAACTTGATCCTAGCTTTAACCTCCAAACCTCTGTAATATAATTCCTCTTCTAGGTAATAACTCTTAAACTGTTTTTAGATAACTGTTAGGTTCTCATTTAATCTCCTCTTTGGTGACAGTTCCCTAATTCCTTCCTGTTTTGGATCCTTCAAAGCCTCTTGCTGGAGCGGTGTGGCTCAGTGGTTGAGTATTGACCTATGAACCCAGGAGTTCATGGTTCCATTCCTAGTTAGGGCACATGCCCAGATTGTGGGCTCGATCCCCAGTAAGGGCACGCAGGAGATAACCGATCAATAATTCTCTCTCATCATTGCTGTTTCTATCTCACTCTCAATCTCCCTCCCTCTCTTAAATCAATAAAAATAAAATAAAAAACCCCAGTCACTTCCTGGAGATACTGGTACATACTGCACTGACAATATTCCTCTCAAAAGGTGATGTCAAGAGCTGGCCTTACAGTGCCATCAGGGACTTACTTGTGTCCGAAGAAAGCGGGAATTCTCCAACTCCGGATTCTTCATGTTTTATTACTACGTCTGTGATTGCAGTATACGTTCTCATAATCGCACAGCACGATGTCCTCCACACCATAATACTTCTGATCAATAAAAACTGTCTTTTTTTTCCTCCTCACACACGCACTATTTTTAAGGAGCTCTTCCTTATCTCTGTTGTTGGGTAGTTGCATGCACGTGTGTTTTGTCTAAACCTAATGACCATACCTATTCTTACAAAATGCTGTTCTTGCTTATTTGTTTGGGACAGCTGTTTGAATCTGAACCCTCCTACCTAACACATTAGCTCTTCTTTCCTCTTTTTGGCCCTTACATATTTTGCCACCTACAAGCAATGTTCTTTCCATCTTCTCCAAGTCACTATATTTTGCTGAGGAAATACAGACCAAGTGCAGAGTTCTCTGGCCATGCTTGAGAGTCTTGCTAAGTTGACATTAGTCCTATCGCTAATCACCAGCCTTCAGGTGTAATTGTTCAGTTATTGGTGAATCTCCTGACCTACCCGCCTGACCCCAGCTCTTCTTGATCACCAGAATATTATGTCAATTGTCAAAGGTCTGCATGGCATCCACACCTATACTGTTTATAACATCCTCTGCATCTACTTGCCTCGCAACCTGACCACAAAATGTAAGTTGTGTGGTTAACTTGTTATTTCATTTTTGTGGTATATTATGAACACCACTTCTTTTTTTTTTTTTTTTACTCAAAAATTCATGACTCATTTTCTGACTTTATACAAAACGGCTCATATTATAAAATATTCAAAAATTTTCTAAAGATGCTCAGAATATGAAATGTAAAGTTCTGAAGTTCAAAACTATTATTCTTTTTTAGCGTATACATTGTGTCCCGGGGAAGAATAATAACATTTCATTTTCAATCAGCCATAATAGCTTATTTGGGACTTAATTTAGAAAATTGGAACAAAATCTTAAAACTACAGGTCTCCAAATGAACAGCCATTTCTGTGCTTCCTAATTGCCTCATTTTTTAGATGAAGAAACTGAGACACAGAGGTGTTAAGTGAATCTTATTAGCAAATGACACAATTAAGGCTGATCTCTCCTGCAAATTAAAAGCCCTATGTTCTTAAAAAGAACTCTATCACTGAAAGAAAATCACTTACTTCATCATTTATTAATTTAAAAAACCTCACTTATATGCACACAGCACTTTAATTCTTTAAAGAAAAACAGAACATTCCTCTAAGCCAACGGTTCTCAACCTGTGGGTCGCGACCATCAGAAAACACATATATAGCATCAGAAACACATATAGCATATCAGATATTTACATTATGATTCATAACAGTAGCAAAAGTACAGTTATGAAGTAGCAACGAAAATAATTTTATGGTTGGGGGTCACCACAACATGAGAAACTGTATTAAAGGGTCGCGGCATTAGGAAGGTGGAGAACCATGGCCTGCAGGAAGCCAGTGTGGGGCCAGCAAGGAGAATGTGGGCTCCTTTCCCATTGAGAAAAACCAAGGTGACATCAACTCCTATGGAGTCAACAGAGAGTGGATAAAATGCCAAACTTTGGCAGGAGTTACTCATCATAAGACATGGAAATGAGGCCCATGAGCAAAATCTTGATTATATGTATCATACACACACACACACACACACACACACACACACACACACACACACACCATCTCTCAGTGATTCCAGAACCTGTACTTTTACATATGGATTACATGCCCTGAGTTACAGGAACAGGATCACTGCCCACTCAGTTCTCCAGGACAGAAATTCAGGTGTCATTCTTGACTTCTTCCTCTCCTACTCTCATATGGGAACAATCGCCCAGTACTATTAATTCTACCTCCTTAATATCTCTCTAATCCATTCATTTATTTCCAAACCATCCTCTCCCTCCCTTAGACAAGATTCCCATAATCTCTGGCTTGGATTAATTTTTTAAAAATATATATTTATTGATTTCAGAGAAAAAGGGAGAAGGAGAGATGGAAACATCAGTGATGAGAGAATCATCGATCAGCTGCATCCTGCACTCTCCCGACTGGGGATCGAGCCCACAACCTGGGCATGTGCCCTGACCTGGAATTGAACCGTGACCTCTTGGTTCATAGGTCAAAGCTCAACCACTGAGCCATGCTGGCTAGCCTGGATTCATTTTTAATAGCCTTCCACATAGCCTTCCTGCCTCCAGTCTTTCTTTGTTTCCTCATTCAGTTGTCTGTTTGGGTTGTGACTATGTTTTAGGTAGGTTCTCTACTCTCAACCTCTAGTGCAGGACAGTGTTAAAGGCTGTTTCTGACTAATTGGATCAGGCAAAGATTCAAAGTCTCCTGAGACCACCTCTATCTACAGACTAATAGGATTCCCAGGCTAATAGGATTCTGAGTTGAATTGCCCCAAAGCAATCATACTCAGGTGTGGTGAGAGTTTTTTTCAACAGGGTGGGGCAATTGCTTCTGCCTGGAGGCTAATTGTTACTTTTAATCTCTTAAGTGGCCTCAGGGCAAGATGTTTCCCAATAGGGTGTGTCTTCCCCTGAGGCAAGGCAAATGTCTGTGTGGGAAAGATGTCCTTCACTGTGTGAGGGAATGACTCAACCCAGGAAACTTGGGGTGTCTACCTTCTGAGGTCTATCCCCTGAGACCCCAGTTCTGGGTTCTGCTTTCACAGTTCCAGTCCACTTCACTCTCCCTCTGCCACAGCACAAGGTGGGTGGCTCCACAGGGAATTTTTGTGTGTTGGCCCTTTAAGAGGGTTCCCAAACTTTCAAGCTGCCACTCCCTGGCAGACAGTACCCCACTACTTTTCACAGTTCTCTAAGGAGGAGCCCAGCTTTGGGATTAGATCCCAGAGATCCCAGTAGCTCCCCCCCCCCCCCCCCCCCCCACACACACACACAGCTGAGATATCTCTCCGAGACTTCAGTTGCTATCCGGCCAGCCCTTTTGCGCCTCCCCTCCTCCTACCAGTCTCTATGCAGTCTCCACCTTCGGTCCTTCTTCCTGCCTCCAGTCTTACTCCTTCTAATTCCTTCTCCAAAGTGTGGTCAGTGATCTCTACATAAGGCAAGTATGACAAAGCCACCTCCTTGCTTAAAGGTCTTCAGGACTATCCCAAAGTTCACAGCCAGAAAGGCAGTCCTTCATGACCTCACCCCAACTGACCTGTCAGCCTCCTTGCTCCTCTGACACCTTGTTCTCATCTTTTGTTATTTGAATTGCCCTGAACTGGCCAGGCCAGCTTTCATTTCTGGGTCTTTGTCCCTATAGCTCCCTCTGCCTTCAGCATGCTTTATAGGTCCACAACCTGGCTTCCCACACAACTCCACAGCTTCCAGTGCTTGGTTTAATAAAAATAGCAGTTTATACTTAATATGAGGGGTTCTGTTCAAAGCATTTTTATGCATTTGGTCATTTAATCCTCATATCAACCCTTTGGGGTAGGTATTATGTTCCTCTTTTATCGATGAGCTCGAATGATCTCCCAAAGTTAGGTTATATGCCTCTTCCAAGTGCCCCCAGAGCACCTGTGCTTATCATAACACTTAGCATTATCTATTTTCCCAGTTTTCTGCACCACAGACCGTAGGTCTTGAAGGGAAAAGAATGCCTGATTTCTGGTGGTCTCCTAGATGAAGGAAGGCCAATGAGTGTTTGCTGACTTGATATATGATGACAAAGCTCAGGAATATGGTTTAAGAGTTAGGAGTACATTCTAGAACTAATCTGCTTACAATCAAATCTTAGCTCTTCCAATTACTAACTGTGTGACCTTGACCAAGTTATTTAACTTCTCTGCCTAGAATCGAGATAACGATAGCACATATTCCTAAAAGACCTAAATAAGTTAATATCTGTAGAGTGCTTTGATGAGTTCCTGGCACATACAAGGACTGTGTGTTTGCTATTATTAGCCTGGTGTTAATGAAGGAACTAAAAGCACTTGTGAAATGGAATTAATACCATTAGCTCCACTTTACAGGCAAGAGGAACTAAGAGAAAGTGACAATCTTCAAATATATGCTGATCCTATAATTAAATATTGCCCAAAGATCAGTTACAAACCATTGGAGAAATAGCTTAATGATTCCAACAACACAGGCTAGCAGTAAACTTTTTAACAAACAACAACAAAACCAGCAGGTGAATGAGTAGGCTCCTACCCACTGAAAAAGGGGAAATGACCCAGAAATTCCAGGGCATAACACCAACTTACATAAGGAACTCCTACACATGAAACCACATTTATAAGAAAGTTACAAAAAAAATGCTTCCTAAGACTAATAGTACAATCTCAGATTTATGAGAATCTTTAGGACCAAAGAAGTTCCATGTTATGGGGAAATTTCCTATACAATTTACTCACTAAGAGTGAAAAAAACTTGTGTCCTCAGACTTCCACAGAGAAGTTAGTTGTGTGTTTTTACAAACAAAGCAGATGTCTTATTAAAACTTTTTTTTTTTTTTTTTTTAGGAGAAGATATAACCAAAGGAGTGAAAACCATGCCAGGATTTTGTTAAGAGCATTGTCTTTGCTCAGAGATTATTGAAATGAAGACCCTATTTGCTGCAAATGTGTGGCTGGAGACACAGAAATACAAAAAGCTTTTCCTCAGATTGACCCTCTGTTGAGCCATTTGAATACCCCCTGGAATTTCCTGGTGAGGAAACAGCAACCGGAAGTTTTACCATAAACGTTATCCCTTAGTTCTCAACAGTGACCCCATACTTTGGAAATGCTTGGTGGCAAAAATAATAGAGTATCCATTGAAGTTCATCTTTCTTTCTAGAGCACAGGTCAAAATGAATGCTCAGCCCTAGCTGGTTTGGCTCAGTGCGTAGAGGGTTGGCCTGAGGACTGAAGAGTCCAGGGTTTAATTCTTCTGGTCACGGGCACGTATCTTGGTCGCAGGCTCGATCCCCAGCCATGGTCAGAGTGTATTCAAGAGGCAACCGATCGATGTGTCTCTCTCACATCAATGTATCTCTCTCTCTGCCTCTCCCTCTCCCTTTCACTCTCTCTAAAAATCAATGGAAAAACATCTTCCAGTGAGGATTAACCAAAAAATAAAAATGAATGGCCAAAACTCTATTTCTCATTTTTGTGATACAGATGAAAATCCCACTTAAAATAAAGAATAATCATAAAAATCTTTATTTGCCTGAGAGGTTTGCCAAGACAATGGTGCCTTATGTCAAATAATATTTTATTCATTAACTTAATAAAAACATTTTGAAAAAAATAGAAGGCTGGAGAGTCCTTGGATTTTGCTGAAGTGGAGTTTTCCTTTAGTGGGGAGAAAAAATGAAAAAAGCCCCCATGAGATTCTAGAAAATTCTCAAGGACTCCTCTCTCATTCTCCAAGCTTCAGCCTCTACACTTTCAGGTCAATCAGTGTGTACAGCTTCACGTCTGGGGACTGAAATGGACACTTACAATCAGGATCCCATTTTTTCTGGTGACTGCTCCTACCTGCACCCATCTCCATTAATTTCTCTGTCTCAGATTTGGAGTAATTAAGTATTGCATCCCTTGTCTCTGTCGCTCAGTTTCTTCTTGTCTGTCTGTCTGTCTCTCTCTCTCTGTGTCTCTCTTGCATCTGCACGGGTGCACACACACCCTCCAGTCACATGGTTACATAGATAAAGCTCCTAGCACACCTGAGTCCACTTCCGACCAAAATTGGTTCCTCAGAGAAGCCCCGGACCCAGAATGGACCAATCAAAATCCCCTCCTAGAACTCAGCTTCTGGCCAGATGTGAGTGGTCTAAGGGTTGGCATCTAATTCCAGGCTGGGCCAGGTGAGTCCAGGGGAGAAAGAGAGAGACGTTTGACAGATACACTTAGGAACTGCTGGCTGCCATGTGTTGTGCCATATACACAGAAGTACCAGGGAGGGGGAAAGCAGTCTGCAGAGGGAGATATGAATAAAATAAAAGAATTGGGGGACATTCAGATTAAAAGTGAACAGCATTTCCTGGATAACAAGGGGCTTTCCAATCCCACCTCCAGGCTATTCCTTAGGCTGGGTGATCTACACACCCTTGGGTTCTATTGAACATACCCAGACATCCTTGTTTCTCTCCTTTTTCACTTAAGCATCATAAGCTGGCTCCTGTTTTTGCAATCAGAAGAATAGTTAACACACGAATGGAGTTCTATACTTAAGTAAAGGACCAACCCATGAAATATATATAGTTTCTTCCAAATATGATATAACCACCACTATCATATCAAGCATTTGCTATAATGTTAGAGTCTCAGGCAAAAAAGTTCAGTTACTGGTCAAAAGCCAGAAAGTTCCCAGAGAGTTTGCAACCATGAGAAAACCAACAACCTATAATATATGGCTATGCAAGCGAACTAGCAGAAAGCATTTTCCTTACATTTCCATTAGCTTCATAAGCTAGAGCTTTGAAGAGATGTATTAAAGAAATGCACTTCAGCAGATTAGTTTTTTAAAATAAAATGAAGAGTATTTTAGCAGATTATAAACCCCATCAGCCTGTTCATTCATAGCACTCTTTAAAAATTGTCATTTAAACAATTATCTGTTAACGTACTCATGAGCAAGCACATTTTTTTCTGTATGTAGGCAAAGGAGGGTAGCATTGGGAGTTCCTCTTCGAAGCAGAAGATAATAATAACAGTTCTATGTTTGAATTTCAAGTTCAATATCACATTTGGCACGGATTTCAAAGTCTTCCAGGGGTGCTGTTTTGTTCACAAGGAGGTTTTTCTTGTTGGAGCCCTCTTGCATAAGACTTACAGGAGAGCAGAGAAAAGAGATTCACTACATGTTGAGACATGGAGGAATCGGTGTTCGGGAAACGTAAGCCACCCAGTAAGTAAGCATTGCTTACGCCTCTGTAACTTTATATCAAGTCCATTTCACCTTTCCTTAAAAGATGAGGCTGAAAGGAGGGGACCAAGTGCTGAAGGGAAAGCAAACTCCTGTCTTGGTGTTCACAGGACTCGAAGTAAGCCAAGCCTGGCTTAGTAGCAGGGTTCAGCCAAAGTCCAGTGCCTGCAGAAAATTCTAACTCCTGCCTTCAACCTCACATTCACAACTGCCTTTGCTTCTTTCACCATCTCCTCATCCACCCTCCACACGGCCACCCCTCAGTCTCCTGGCTGCTGTTCTCAGGCCATGCCAGAGTCACTGAGTCAGGGGAAAGGTGGGGGTGGGGGGGAGTGACCCGTCTTTAGACACAGGAGAAATTCCCAGGCCTGGTGAGTGGCAGCTTCTCTCTGTGGCAATCCTCTAACAAGCCTCCTTTTCAATTGTGACTTCTTCTCTCCAGTTGTATTAAAACACATCTAATAATGAACTGGGCTCTCACGACGCCAAGGAACAGGAGGAAGGACCCATCCGCCACGAGTGCGCTGTCTCCCCTTCTCCCTGCCGGAGGGGCAGTGGGTCCGCACGGCCCTGTTATACGCTTCAGTGCAGACAGTCCTGTTGCTGGGGAGAGAGGCTGGGAGGAGCTCCACAGCTGCTGAGCCTGGCAGACACTCCCTGATGGAATTTACTGGTCAAAATCCTACTCTACTCCGACAGCACTGCTCTTCTAAGGAGACACAGGCATTTCACATGTTCATTCACCTGAACGTGGCCTTCCTGAGAGCGAGCAGCCCAACTATTCCCTTTTGGCAGAGCACGCGTCAGGGAAGCTTTGGGGCTATTTCTGGAGCCCTCCAAATCGCTTCATTCTCGGGGCTTTTGCTCTGGAAGGAACTTTCCCTCCACATCATCCCTGGGCTCAGCCCTCATTGTGTCTGAGTTTCTATTCAGGCATCAGGTCAGCAGGGAACCACCCAGAGCCGCCCAATTTAAAGCAGCTGCCCCTCCCGCCAGCTCTGCCTGTCACTCTTTATCCCTGCCCGGCTTTATTTTTCACCAGAGATCTTACTACGACCTGACATTTCATTCTAAGTCACTTGTTTATGGTTCACCCACACTAGAATGTAAGCTCCTGGAGGCAAGGACTTTGTTCTAGGTATCACTCTGTTCCCAGGGCCTCAATAAGGCCTGGCCCGCAGTCAATCCTATTTAAATGAATGAACAGGAATAGAAGCCAAATATCTCAATTTCTAACTTAACACGTGCTCATCTCCTCGTCAGCTTTAATGTGCTCCTCTATGCTTCCTGCCCTTGATATGCTGACAGGGGGTGATAGATAAATAGATCTCATGCTTTCAAATATCTTGTGCTAAAGCAGAAATGCGTCATTTAAAGGTATGTGCATTATAAATACCTGGTGTTGCCCGGCCAGCGTGACTCAGTGGTTGAGAGTCTACCTATGAACCAGGAGGTCATGGTTCAATTCCCAGTCAGGGCACACGCCTGGGTTGTGTGCAGGAGACAGTCACTCAATGATCCTCTCTCATCATTGATGTTTCTATCTCCCTCTCCCTTCCTCTAAGAAAGCAATAAAAATATATTAAAAAAATAAAAATAAATTTAAAAAAATTTAAAACTGGTGTTAGGTGTTGATGGAAAGCAAAAGATTACTGCATTGTGTATGGGAATGGGGATTGATAATCTCTGTGGGGAGAACAAGTTAGAAATACCTAACAAAAATTTTAAACAGGCATTTTCTTGACCTACTAATTCCCGAAAAATATTGTCCATAAAAAAGTCCCACAAATGCTCAAAGATCTATATGCAAGGATGCCTATTGCAGCACTATTTGTAATGGTGAGAAATTAGAAGTAGCCCATAAAATATCAACAATTCAGTATGGACTACAATGTAATCTTACACAGTCACTGAAGAGAATTAGATGTGTTGATGCTGACTTAAAAACATATTCAAGATATATTGTCAAGTGAAAAAAGCATGCTGGAGAACTAGTATGAATATTAAGAACACACATCTGTACTAAAACCATTACTAAGAGTGTGCGAGTGGTACATACATGCTTTTATTATTTGCAGGGAAAGTGTCTGCAAGACGGCGTATCAAACTGTTAACCATGGGTCTGATCTCTCTAAATAGAGGGGACTGAGGAGACTTCTCTTTCTAAATCATACATTTCTATAATGTGTAAATTTTAGCAACAAGCAAGTACTACATTCAAGAAAAATAATAAAGGTTTTAAACATCATTCTGGAGCTAATGCATTTTTTTGTTGTTATCCCTCACCCGAGGATATTTTTTCCATTGATTTTTAGAGAAAGTGGAAGGGACGGAGGGAGGGAGGGAGGGAAGGTGAGAGAGAAAGAGAGAGAGAGAGAGAGAGAGAGAGAGAGAGAGAGAGAGAGGGAGAGAACCATCAATGTGAGAGAGACACATGGATTGGTTGCCTCCCACACAGGCCTCTACCAGGGCCAGGGATTTAACCTGCAGCCTAGGTATGTGCCCTTGACCAGGAAATGAACCCCAGACACTTTGGTTCATGCTGAATGCTCTAACCATTTAGCAACACCAGCCAGGGCTCAAGCTAAAGTTTTTTGTTTTTTTTTCCTGACAGGTGGTAATTTTTAAGCATTAACACACTGAAAAGAATGTTCCCCAAAAGGATGCTGATCACAAAGTGACTGATTACTAACAGAAGTGGTTTTAACCGGCCCATAAACCCACCATGTTTCTGTACCCCCTTTCTTGTCTGTCAGGTTCTGTTTGGACTGGTTACTGGTACAGAGAATCAGTTCACCCCCAGGAGCAGTACATTCAGCTCCTGCTGGGCCCCCAGCTTCCTGTTCATGGTACTGAAATGCCTTCATCTTGTCTTGGAGGTTTGGACTTCTTCCACTGAGCATTGAAAGGCCAAGTCAACCAGCAGACGCATCGAATCCAAAGCCCAGGATAGTAGAAATCAAGAGGTTCATTCCTATTGGTCCTGTCCCATCTCCCACCAAACCACCCAATCGGCTCCCTTTAGAGAATCAATAAAGAACTGAATGACAAAATGCAGTAATGGCGGTGCAGTATAGAAGTACAGGTTTTACTAGCTTGAGCTGATAGAAGTTTTAAAAGGTGCCAAAGCATCTTTATATTTATAAAACTATTTACATTCTGCGCTCAACAGTTAGATTAACAAATTCTGTCACCTCTCTAGGTTTTATTTATTCCTAACTCATGAAATGAGGCTAGGAATTCTGGTCCTGTCTACTGCTCAGGGTTACTGGGTGGCTAAATTAAATGCATACGGAGCATTTTGAAAACATTTTAAAACCATGAATTCCAAGAAGCCATTATGTTATTGTCTGAGTTTCTTGTTAGCATTATATTTAATTTACTCCTAAGAAAACACTCCGGGAGGCTTTGTGTTATGACTGGTACCGGTG